GATCGATGGTTTTGGATCGACTGAAAAAAATGAAAGAACGCTACTTACTTAAAAATATCAAATTAACACTATTATTTTCAAAACCATGATTTTACTTTTAAATATTTATTACAAAATCATTATTTTATTTAGAGTCCCTAAAGCTATTTGAAACCGCATCAACTCCTATTTTTAACATTTTCACGCAACTGTAGCGGATTAGCTACCTCAGTAACCTTGACTGTTCTCAGAAAGCTCGATAGCAGTTTCTTCCAACTCGAAAGTCCCCGGGAATTAGCTAAGCTAAGACAAAGCTATAAAGGAAACAGACGTGTAGCACGGAATACGTTTATTCAGTACGTATATTGATAGCGAAGTGTGATTTTGGCAAAGCGATTAGTTGTCCGATAAATCTAGCATAATTCGAGTGAACATCAATAGCTAAATATCTCTGAGTAGTGTTCTGTAGCAGGATTTCTATTGGTCATTGATGAAGTGTCCCACAATACTCCCCCTCTAGAGCGTTTGTAGGAACCTAAAAGGAGAAAGAGAAAACGCCCAATTTACTGAATGTACATTGTCGGCCAACCGGGAGGGTAAAGTAATTTTTCGGCCGTAGCGGGTGTAATAGGGTTCAGGTTGAAGGGGGGCAGGAGGGGTAACACAAGAGTCCTGAGTATCTTCTGGTGGAGATTTCGGTGGTGGAGTGGAGGAGAGGGGTAGAGGGTCTGCAGTTATTGGGGTTATAGGAACGGAGAAATGATTTCTAACTGCCGACTGCAGTATTGGAGACTCCAGGTATGCCGGTGTCAGCCGGTCGATGCTTACTGAGTCCTTGATGCCGTTGCGGTCGAGCAAAAAATATTTTGGCTTGCGTTTGAGGACTTCGTAAGGTCCGTCGTACGGTGGTTGTAGAGGTCTTTTAACTGAATCCACTCGAACAAAAACGAAGGGACATGTGGATAAGTCTTCATGAATATAGGTAGACGTGTTACTCAAACGAGTAGGGGTTGGACGGACGGCTCTGAAGTGTTCCTTTAAACGTGCAGAATATGACAATGGGTCTATGGTGGCTTGGTCTTGGAAGTTGGAGATCATCTCTCCAGAAAGCCGGAGCGTTGTGCCAAGAACAAACTTCACTATCAATGTACGTACTGAATAAACGTATTCCGTGCTACACGTCTGTTTCCTGTATAATTTTGTCTTAGCTTAGCTAATTCTCGGGGACTTTCGAATTGGAAGAAACTGCTATAGAGCTTTCTGAGAATAGTCAAGGTTATTGAGGTAGTTAATCCGCTAAAAATTGGTGACCCTGACGTGATTTAAACACGCAACCTTCTGATATGGAGTCGACCTTGTTCGAGCCTACCATCAAATTCCCATGCATCCGGAGGACATTAAAAAGACGGCCGTAATCACACCGTTTGGTTCATTCGAATACTTACGTATGCCTTTCGACTTCGCAATGCAGCTCAGTCCTTCCAGCGATTTATGGATCAAGTTTTTCCTGGGTTAGATTTCGTTTTCACATATATCGATGATGTGCTGATTGCCAGTTCCAACTTGGACGAGCATAAACAACACCTAAGACAGGTGATTGAACGTCTTCAGCAATACAGGATCATGATCAATCACGATAAGTGTAAATTTGGCCTGTCAGAAATCGATTTTTTGGGACATCATATCAATAGTTGTGGAATCACGCCCTTAACAGAGAAGACGCAGTCGATCATGGATTATCCCTTACCCCAGTCCGTAAAAGGTTTGCGCCGCATTCTAGGCATAGTAAAATGTGCTCAAGTCCTTCAACCTCTCACAGATTTGCTTAAGGGAAACCCGAAGCATTTCAAGATAACGTCAGAGGCTGAATCAACATTTTCCTTGGTGAAGCAGCAACTATCAGAGGCAACTGCATTGAATCATCTGGATACGTCTAAAATGACACGCATTGTTCTGAAGACCGACGCATCCCAAGTGGCCGTCGAAGCAGTCCTACAACAGATAGTCAAGGGAGACATTCAGCCACTCTCCTTTTTCTCAAGGAGGCTTAACAATACCGAGATGCGTTACAGCACATTCGGTCGAGAACTGCTTGCCATGTACTTGGCTGTTAAACACTTTCAGCATATACTAGAGGGACGTCAGTTTACGATCTTTGCTGATCACAAACCGTTAATCTACGCTTTTCAGGCCGCCGCAGACTACCATTCTCCTAGGGAAATGTGAAATTTGGTCCTTATCGCACAATTCACGAGTGATATTCGACACATAGATGGCGCTAGCAATGTTGTAGCCGATACAATGTTGCGTATGGAATTGAACCTAATCGGCGTACCCTCGCTCGATCTGGAAGTCTTGGCGTCCGAACAGAAGTCAGACCCCGATTTCACGGAAATCATTTCCAACCCTTCGTTGCGCTTTGAATGTTTGCTATTACCAGATTCTGATACCCAGATCTATTGCGACGTTTCGACTGGAAAGCCGAGACCTTTCGTCCCGCAAGAATATCGCCGGTAGATTTTCGACCATTTTCATGGTTTGTTGCATCCAAGCATTCGTTCCACAACAAAGTTGATCACTGATCGGTTCGTCTGGAAGAACATCCGACAGGACGTTCGCCTGTGGTCCAAAAATTGTCTCACTTGCCAGATCAGCAAGGTGCAAAAGCATACTCGCAGCCCAACCTACAACTTTCCTCTCCCCGTAGCCCGTTACCGACATATTCATGTTGATATCGTTGGCCCACTTCCACCATCGAACACTTACACACATATCTTAACTTGTATCGACCGTTTTACACGCTGGTCAATGGCGGTTCTTTTACGCGATACCTCCTCGTCATCGGGGGCCGTTCCGGGAGTTAAATCACCTTTTGGGATCGACGCACATCCACACTACCGCTTATCACACCGAAGCCAACGGCCTTGTCGAACGTTTTCATCGACAGGTTAAGTCTGCCCTTATCGCTACTTCTTCTGGCTTAAACTGGGCGGAACGTCTCCCGATCATTCTTCTCTCCGTGCGAAATACTATCAAGGAAGATCTCGGATGCTCCCCAGCAGAACTCGTTTTTGGCACAGCGATTAGTTATCAGATAACTCTAGCATAATTCGCGTGAACATTAATAGCTAAATATCTCTGAGTAGTGTTCTGTAGCAGGATTTCTATTGGTGTGATGAAGTTTCCCACACAACTTAGTTACCAATTGGAGAAGAAACTAAATAGCCTAATCACTTATAAGCATATTATGTCAATAAATCTGGGAGGTGCGATAGACTTATCTCCACGTGGTGCACCCTGGGCAACGTATACTCATACGGCAAAAAAGTCTATTAACTGGCAGCTGACCTCTGACTTCAAACTTCCATAACCCCACTGTATGTCATATTCGACCCCTTCCGCAGTACTCATCTAGCCTTTTCTCTGCCTTTGTGTCTGTCTGTTACATCTGTGAATCGCTCTTCTTTCCCCCTGTCGAAGTTTTCTCACTTTAATGTTCCTCCCTTCTGTGAAGCCCGAAGTCAACTAAAGGGCTAATGATAACTATCAAAATGCCTGCCATTTGAAATAAATAAATAAATGTCAATAAATCTTCCCGAATATTAGTGGTGGATCTTAAATTTCTGCAAATTTGTTAGTACGGCAAATATTTATTTTAAACATTTTCCTAACAACTGCCGTTAACTACAGCATCTTAAGCTCTGGTTATAGTGATGAAAGCGTAAAAGTTGAAAACCGAGTTCTACGCTGAAGATTCATTGACATAAAACATTTGTTTTATGATTACCTCGCTACTCTTTTTTAATACTGACTAACATGCAATTTATATAAAGCTTCTTTTCAAATATCCTACTACGTAGAAGACAGGGCTAATGATAAATATTATAAAGCCTACCATTTGAAATATATATATATATATATATATATATATATATATATTACGTAGAAGACATCAAATTTATAATCATCAAATCGAAACAAATTCCTGCCATAAATTTAAAAAAACAAAACGAAGAGATACTAGATACGCTAAATAGTAGTTAATTTGCAATACCAATCAACTCATTGAAAGAAGAAAGGAGGCACCTATATTGTATTTCGATACCTAAATTAACTATTAAGTGCCCATTGATTTGTGAAAAGATCGCATACACTAAGAGTACCACATAAACCTTGCTGACTCAGATGTTAGGTCGAACAAAATAGAAATTTTACTTTCTGGTGTAGAAGTATGGGTAGCTTGATCCAATTGTAGAAAAAGCAGAAAATCATCATTCACAGATCTGAAACAACTTACAACTAGTTTGATCATCAAAACGAGTGTCTGTATTGAAAAGATTTTACCAAGTATTAGAAAGGTTTAATAGGATTCTTGCTCATTATTGCATTTAAGAACGATCGAAAAATAACAAACTGAGCTTTCGACGCCATTATTTAATAAACCATAACCATTTTAAAGATTTAGATTAACGTCTCCTTCTGCAAATTACACATGATCCTTTGATTTGAATTGCTAAATATTTTTAGACATTTGTTGGTCAGCTAATTAGATTAATACGATACGAATAATTCAACGCATACAACGTTAAACAGAATTTATTTAGATATTCAATGACTTGCCAAAGGCATATAGTTATATAAAGTTATTATTGAATTTCGGTTGCCATTTGCTTTCTTTTACTGTGTTTATCTAGCAGCAATACCTACCTAAATTTAAAGAATTCAGATTTTATTTTTAAAGCGAATTCAGCCTAAATATAAACCAAAACTACTGCTTAGAGCTCAACTCTTTGTTGGGTGTAGTTTATCGAGATTAATTTCTGAATTCCTAAAGTAGAAAATAATTTAAATTTTGTTATTTATTTTTTTAATTTTATATCTGGATGTAACAATATTTTTGCTTGGAGATAAAAGCTTATATTTATTAAATCATCAGCTTATTGAATATGTATCTCAAGGTCGAGACCTCTCCAATGCCCTTGAAAAAATGAGTAAATTGGGTCATTGGTATCCTTAATGTGATGGATGTATTTACTGAACAGATTTCACGTTATGTGGGGACCAGTCATGCCCAAAGGGCCGTAGACCGAATCTCCGGCATCGATTCCCGGTTTAATAATGTTATGCAGACAGTAAATTTATTTTCACAAAACTTCACATTATTTAACATTTTAATTTTCAGCGATTATTTTTGTATACTATTAAATTCCATGAATTAACTGCACGTCGGATAATTCTGTGTATGCCATTAATATATTTTAGGGCTTTCTACCAGAAAATGGCTTTTCTGAAGTTGAAATCGAGTCGATCATTAATAGACTTTCTCTAATGGACTCCAACAACTGGTTGCATTCCACAGGTGTTGGCGAACGTGAGGGTCGCATTCTACTCGACCTTGTTCGACGTCGTCACTTTGGGTACTTTGGTGGTAATCCTCACGATTTTGTATAGACTTGCACATGGGATTGGCCGTTCTGGTGATATTACTGCTATTCAGCCGAAAGCTCCCGGTTCAAGTCTCATTAATCGGCTTTGTAACTCGATGCTGTTGGATTGGCTTAGGCGTTCCGGTAACGGGTTCTTGTTGTTTTGACTAATATTGAATTTAAATTAGGTGCGCCGAGCACGGAAGCTTGCCTACTTGTTCCAATGGCAACTGGTATGACGCTAACGTTTTGCCTCTTAACACTGAAAAAGCATCGTGGTCCTCAAGCGAAGTATGTGATTTGGCCGAGAATCGACCAGAAATCCTGTCTCAAATGTATCTCAGCTGCTGGTATGTTCCTATCTTATGCAACCTTAATCTTGTGTGAAACTAACTCCAATTACTTTTACCTTTGATATCTTTTGTGTAGTAGTCAAAATGTTGATTAGTTTTCAGAAGGACTATCCTCTCTAGCCGCCTTTTTCCACATTCTTGGTTTACTTCGGGCTAATTTTTCCCCTAATTGTGGGTGTTCCACGGTTTTATTCACTTAGTGGAAATGTTTCCCTGTTTGTTTTTCTAATCTTGTATCTTTTGTTCCATTACCATTTCCCTCTAATCGGCGATTTTGAATTTGGTAATAATTTCGTATCCAAGAAATCAACTGCACATTTTCGAATTTCGACGAAAAAGGCAGTATAGTTTTGCTTATATTATGGCTCTCTGAATGCTAACAATGACATAAACATTTGATCCAACTTGACCATATTCGTTAGCGTTCTTTTGGAAAGATATAGATTATCTTAGCTGATTGAATTTTAATGAAATGTAATATTTTAAACTAATTTTTTTATTTCTGGTAACCCTGGCCTATCTGTATGATCATTACAAACAATTGAAATGGAACTGAGGCTGTATAAGTTGGCAGTTATTTCGTCAACAATGTTTTAACTAAGAGCCTACTGCAATGGGATATGTGTATATTGAGGGTTTTGTTTGGTAATGAAATTACTCACTAATTTTGGTTAGTCTTTTTTAAAATCCTACTCAATCTATTTTTGAGCATTTTCAACTCTTCAATGCCACATCTGCATTTATCTAGTCCAGTTGTTAAAAATGTGTTGCTTGTGATTTGAAGGAAGGTCTACTTTAAAATGAGTTTAGTCGTGTAACAAAAAATGCTTATATCGGTGGAAATAGTCCATGTTACAATCTTTTTTTTCTCGGATTTAGTTGACAGTTCCTGGAGTGGAGGCGTTAATTCCTGATTCAATGTTAATCGTTGCAGAATGGTGGACCTTGCATTTCAATATATATATATATTTTAAATGGCAGGCTTGATGGTAGTTATTATTAGCCCTTTAGCTGACTTCGGGCTTCACAGAGGAGAGGAATATCAAAGTGGGAAAAATTCGAGAAGGGGAACAGAAAAGTGATTCAAGGATGCAAAAGAGATAGACAGACACAAAGGCAGAGTAAAGGTAAGGTGAGTGCTACGGAAGTGGTGGAATATGACATACAGTGGGGTCATGGTAGTTTGAAGTCAACTGCCAGTTAATAGACTTTTTTGCCGTATGAGTATACGTTGCCCAGGGTGCACCACGTGGAGGTAAGTCTATCCCATAGATATTAGTACATTTCCACACTCGGTGCACTATCCTCTTATGGTGGTGAAGTTTAACTTTAGCGAATGTGTATCCACTGCTCCGAATGGATCTCTCCCTTTTTTAAAAGAATCGTCTGGAGTTTTTCGCCTTCCCCCCCCCCTCCCCCCTCCTCCTTTCTGTGTCTGAGTCAGGTTAAGCCTCGGATTTAATGGTCCAATTTTACCAGCACATAAAATTAACCCCCAATATTGGATCATTTCGTATGCTGTTGAACAGCTGGAATTGACGCTCATTGAAGGCCACTCTGAGATGGGCCGACTCATTAACCTGCTCTAATCCCGCATTTACTTTCTTTCTTTTAAGGCTTGATTCCAATTCCCATTGAGCCAACTCAAACCGCAGGTAGAAATAAAAAGAATAAGAAGAAGAAGGGTGTTAAGGGCAGTGGTGAAGACAAGGTGGAAAAAGAGGATTCAGAGGAGGAGGAGGAGGAGCAGTACGCCGACCAACTCTCCTCAAACATAGCTGAGATCGATAAGGCTATGATCGATCCGGAATCTGTCCTTGAAGCCAGAGAGGACTTGTTTGTTCCGAATAATAATAGGGAAAAACGACCCGGACCTGAATCGATTGTCTGTGTTCTCACAACTACAAGCTGCTTTTCTCCACGGGTTCCTGATCGGTAAGTTAAATTGCGTTTCCTATCACCTCAAGACCAATTAAAAGTGCTCTATTAATATAACATTATTTATTTATTTATTAAGTTAGCAAATATTATGCTAAATTGCGCATTCAGACAAGCGGTTGCATAAACTTGAAGTAAAAAGAAAGTAGTTTGAGAGACAAGACTAGGAGATTTTGCCCGTGGGTTCGCTAATGTCACTCAACGTAGAAGGAAATGCGCTATTGCTTGTTAAAATTCTTTAAAGAGACATGGACTGGATCCAATGCCACCATTTAGGCTGCCATTCTGATTTGGGGGCTTTCCAAGTACAGCGAGAGAGTTCTGTGGATCCTTGTTAATCGTTTCACATGAGGATAGTTAACTCGGACAGTAGTGGAAAAGCATTATTTATTTCTGGTAACATTAAAAGACGGTTGACTGTTTCGCAATCTGCTGTTTATCGCGTATTATCTCCATTGAAAAATGGATATTTGTGTCCTTAGAAGTAGCTCGACATTGGTGGCTTTTGCGGAAATGGCTTTCCGGAAAAATCAAAGGCTTGTCTTATTAATTTGCCTGAACTCTAACGTTATATAAACATTCCTCCTAATTTTCCTTTGCTACCCTGGAAACCCAATAAAAGTTGTGGTAAGGTAAGTTGGGTAGACTTCTTTTTAGCAATTCTTCGCTTTAGTCTGTTTGTACAATTTCTTCTCTCTCTGTAAAGCGTAAAATCGTGTAAATGCATAATTTTTTGTGCAAAATTGATTAAAGTGGCGTTCAAGTATGCTTCTATACCAATTAGATTTATGCGAAAATTTTGCTGTTTCGTAATACAAAGTTGGAAATCAGGCGGAGTTCTATTTATATGAAGTGGGGTTCAAATTGGTCTTCTTCTGTGATTGGATCTAATTTTCTCTATTTAGGACTTTGGTCTACTGGAGAGAGTTCTTTTTCCCTCGATAAGTTAGAGACTTCTTCAAAAGTTGTATCAAACTGAAAATCGATGCTTCTTCCACCTCTCGTTGCTTTTGTACACAATTGAGTGAAGCACCTGTTTTCAAGGCGGTTGTAGCGATAAGTTATTGGCTAATGTATACAATCTGTTCACATTGTGTCAGTTGAGTGAATACCTTGACGCACTGGAATCTTTCGTAGTAAACTGTGGCATGTGTGTACAACTGATGAAGCGGTCAGCATGCCAAGTAGGTGGCGATGTCTTAGTAGAGAGAGAGAGGGAGCAAGGATTTCAAATTTCCCACTCAAGGTGACTCTGCAATGCGGTTACCCTTCCCTACCCGATGATGAGGATTTGAAAGCGCCTTCTTTGTGAAGTTGAGAGCATCGCCAGCTCTCTTGGTTGAACGCCTATAATTGTTAAATTCTGCTGTCCTTTGATCGGGCTTCCTTCCAGTCTGTTTACACCCCTTTTTTCCATCTCGATCGTGGATTGACATATTGGGGGGCAATTAGGCATTGAAATAAAAAAAGCCCATAAAGTCTGCAGGGAACATGAGCACCAGATCGATAGCTTCCCCAGGAACCAGTGCATTGGGAGACTTGTCAATGTGAGAGAGAATGCGACAATTTCTCCTCATCGGAGGCATCGATTACTACCGTCTTCTTTTATAGCCCCCCCCTTTAGTGGCGTAAAATTATAGGCCTTTTTTTATCATTTTTCTTCTCATTTTATTAGATCGTTTTTCCCCTGATCCAATTAAATACTCCGCACATCTCCCACCTTTCTATTCAACTTGCTATTTTTTTTGCTGATTAACCATGATGTCATATTTAAACTAATTATCGCTGTCAGTCAAAGTGAGCTAATTATTGCCATCGATCGTATATAGAAGAAAATCTAAACTTCCCCTACTTGGATAGCATAGGCTACTACGATTTCACCCGAGTGAAAAAGCCGATTTTTCGATATTCTGAGTTGGGGTGATAGTTGATTTGTATCGCCTATATCTGCCATCATTTGAAAAGCCAGGCTTAATCTAAAGCGCTCCATTTTTTGGAAGTTAAACGATAGACTCTCGTCAACATATTCTCACATTGTTTCTGAAAAAAAAGGTGCATTTTTTTCAATCTACCTCTAGTTTACCGGCAATAACACGACTGTGCAGGAAGTACGGGAATATTCCACACTTGGTGAACAATGCCTATGGAGTACAATCGAAGCGCTGCATGGGTCTAATTGAATGCGCCTGGACTGAGGTCAAGTCAACCCACTCGGAGGGAAATTCTACGCAATCTCCTTCTCCTCCACTGGATCTCCTCTACGTTCAATCGACAGACAAGAATCTTATGATCCCGGTTGGCGGGGCTATAATCGCAGGATTTTCGAAAGATCTGATCAAGGAGATTGCTGAATCTTATCCAGGCAAGTGTGCTGGTAGCATTGGCATTGGCTTTCAGATATCACTGTCTCGGTGTGTATCACATGAGTAGTCAACCGTCTAATGAGGTCTAGCTGATATAAGAATGATGATGATTCCTCAACAAGGGACTCAATGAACGGGAGGAAGCTAATCTTTAGATCATAGTAGGGCAAGGTCCTGAAATGCGAAGATTGTTCAACGACTTGCTGATCAGATCAAGTGTGAGAATCGGACAAAAGGTAGAGTAGCTTTCAAGTTACAACACGTTAAAGAAAGTTGCCTGCGAAAACCATTCGTGCTTCGTTCTGAATGCCATATTAGCTTGTTCTCTCTCCATTTTATATTCAATCTTAGAAGTTTTGGTTTCGAAAGAATCATGGAGATGCCTAAATTTGATGGCATGGTCAATTTCTTCCTCAAAAGGTTGCTTGATCCAATGATAGTCTTATAATAAACAAACAAGACCTCTTTCTCCAAGTTTGAGGCTATCTATCTTCCATACGCTTTAAAAGCCGTTCTGATTTTTAGGCAGAGCATCAGGTACTCCCTCTCTGGACGTCTTCGCCACTCTTCTTCATCTTGGAAGACGGGGTTGGGAGGATCTCTGCTCCAAGCAGGAGATTTGCTACGCCAAACTTGCCGAAGGTTTAAAGGGACTTGCTGATAAACACGGTCTACGCCTCATGAATACCCCCGAAAACTCCATATCCCTTGCTCTTTCACTCAAATCCCTACATACTACAGGTGAGAATGATGTCGCCATTGATCCAGAACTATTAACTCAGATAGGATCAAGATTATTCACTCAGGGATGCTCTGGAGTTCGGTATGCAAATTCCTATTAATTGATACTACTTATAAATTTTAGAGTAGTTGTGCCTGCCTCGATGGAAAAACACTTTAACATAGCACCTAAGTGTGTAGGCGGGGTAACATTGGTGGGCTTCAATTCGCATAGCTGTGTGTCAAAAGAAGCCTACCTGAATGCTGCAGCAGCTTTGGGTCAAACACCCGAAGAAATTGACCTCTTTTTAACTCGTCTGGACAAAGCCCTTACCGCATTCAGACGACAACTAGAGAAGAAATCAATCCAACTCCTTCCCCAGCCAATTTCATAAATATATATATATATATATATTAAATTTTAATAAACAAATCTTTTTTTATTCATGCTTATCGTTGATCTTTGGGGAGAAAGTAGGTCTCCCGGAAGTTTTTAAGGTGAAAGGGAATTCCTCGAACTTCACTATTACTCATTCTACCCTCGTCGTCAATTGCTTCATTAAGAACTTCCGTTGCTAGACTGAAATCAGGTTCATTTGGACCAAGCTTCTCCATTACCATCAAAAAGCGAGAAATTCGCAGATTTAGCGCCTGTAAAGGGAAAGAGAGAGTGAGAGAGATTAAGTAAAGGACTGAAATAACTCGTGCAGCAACTTACTTGTTCGCAAACTGTGATGAGTTTGAAGCGAGGATGAGCGGGTAAAGAACTCGGTCCCTTATAGTTGCTCTTACTGACAGGAACCCAGAACACTAGACGTCCACCTGGTTTGAGGAAAATGTTGGCCTGCAACAAGAGGTCACCAAATGTCTCCTGCAAAGGATAATCTTCCTTAAAAAAACAAGTGAAAAAGACAGCGATAAGAAGAAGATGACCTCAGGAGTTAGAGTTTGAGTGGGAGAGAGAGAGACTTACTTTATGAGGATAATGAGGAAGATCGTGTGGAACAGGAACGAGGCCATTTTGGTCAGGAACCAGAGCGAATTGTTTCCTACTCATCAAATTGAAGTGAAACAAAAGATGGGTGAGGGTTTAGTAGAATTTCAATAAATCAAATTAGTCAGCTATGGATCTGATGGCATGCTTATGGAAAGGGGAGAATTAATAGAGTAAGGGACATTGAAAAGAATGTAATCTATAAAAAAATATTAAGCAACTCAGAACTAGTATTACAAAGTCTAAACTTTGTTTTACAAGAAATTTCTTGAGGGTTGATTTACACTTTCTCGTTATTATCTTCTCAGTCAAACAACGGATTTGCAAGCTTTAATGCACAAAGTGTAGATGAAATGATACACACCTCAACATTGACGTCAAAACAATTAATCTGAGATTGGTGCTCTTCTAAACACACCCTCGTGGCGTCTCTGATGGTAAATTCGATTCCTGTCACCCTTTCATTGGTCATTCTATTCGTTCCGAAAAGGATCATCGAACTCGTAATGCGAACGAAGCTTATGCTTGATAGTTTCAAGAGAAATGAGATTCGTTTACTACTATTGTATGTGTGTCCTAAATCACCTTCATTCCATATACTTTTCGATATCCAAAATGGATAAAGAAGCCTCGATATATATTGAAATGGAGGAACAGTATAAGAACTTCAACACCCGAAAGGGCAGATGGTAAAGACATTCAAGTAGAGACGTAACTTACTCGCCAGTAATCTGATGGATGAACTCGGGTGGTTGTAGTGATGGCTCCTTTTCAGCCGCCTCCGAGGCAACTCGACAACTGCGCTCACGAACCCCGTAGGGTGGATCTGTAATCATGGCATCAAACAGACCCTCATTCGAAGGCATAGTGCGTAGAAGTCGACTCAGAGAAGCGGCGTCTGCAATTAAGACGTCAAGATACCGCGACTCCATTCCATACTGTCGGTAGTTTGCTCGCAGACATTCACCTTTAGTGCGTTTGCCCTAATGGTGGAAGAGAATCAAGAGTAATTTAGAGCCAAGATAAGCAACTGATGGAGGAACATTTCCACAAAATATAATATATAATAACGCAATAAAAATTAAAAATAAACTCCACTTCAGCACACCCCTTTAAACATTTTATGCAAAGAGCCTCAAACAAGGCAGGAAATGAAGTAAAAGAATTAACTGTTTAAAAGACGAAATCACGCCCAACATTTTATCAATCGTGCTTCCAAAACAGTTACACATATGGCGTCCACAGTCAAAAGGCATTTAGAATATGACTAAATAATTATTAATTAATTTCAGACATACCAAATTCATAAGAGCTACTAAACCTTAGGAAAGGCCTTTAAAGCAGGTGAAATGAAAGATAGAATGTAATATCGAAACTACATAACCGACATTCGATGTCAAAATGAACGAAGAGAGAATTAGTGAAACAACAATTTCTAGGTTGGATTGAATAATATAAGACATGAGATACTGATTCGCAATCAGCGTTCAAAACTAAATATAGTCGAAAAAAATTAAGGATTTGAAGATGATGCTTCCCCAGCTCGGTTTATAATTAAATGAAATTAAGCAAGATTTCCTTTTAACGCACCTGTCCAGCTTTGGGCGAAGCGCCAATTCCATGCACCAGGGAATAATCAATATCGTTACCAGCACCATAAGCACCCCAGATCGAAGCAGCCAAGACCATTCCACCAGTTCCAATAAAAGGATCCCAGACAATGTCACCACGCTTGCACAGTGCAGCATTTGCAATTATACCCGCTAAGCAAACATCCATTGTCGTATTTCCCAGATAAAAGCGCTTAGAGAGGTCGAACTGATTAAGTATTTGCTTTCGACAACTTTCAGCTATGGCCAGACCGTAGTAAACCCGTACAAGAGCCTGGTCTCCCTTATTAGTGGTGGGTTTCGCGTACTCGAATAAGATGTGGAGTTTGTGCTAAAATAAGAGATACATTTAATGAAGAGGATGTTTACTTTGGGATTGTCGAGATCTACGGGTGCAGTGGTATCTGCATGAGATTCAACAAGTCTCTGAATAAAAGGGAGACGATGATCAACAGGGATTTTCTTATTTACAGAACTAACGACCATTTTATATGAGTCATTTCCATATAAGTATTTCTCGATCGAAGAGAGGGGAATTTGGGGAACCTAAATGAGGTTGACACAAAGTTAGACGTGGGAGTACCATTTCAAGTAGTTGCTCAAATGAAGGTGCACAGGCCCATATTAAATAGATGGACTTCACAAGCATACTGCGTTCAATAAAGGAAGCAGCAACTTCATTATTAGGAAGGGAAACTTTTACATAAGGATCAGTCCAATTGGTATTTGAAGGAATGCAATCTTGGCTCAATCCATGTATTGTAAGAAGAGAACGAATTTCTAATTCACGGAAATTAATAAAATCATAGGCTGCGAACGCCAATAAATAATCCATGCCTTTTAAATATTGCCTTTTTGGGTTAATATCATTGGCTAGTATTTTGAAGAGTTCGAGGGTTCTTAGTCGTTTATAACGAATGAGTAGTTGAACTAATTTTAAGCAGAATAATTAAACCTTTAAAACCGTACCAAAATAAGTCTATTCTACTTTTATGAATTCAAAGTTTCATAGCTACGACCTCTGGTGTGAATATTTTGGTTACTAATTTTCTTAGTTAAAACCATGAACACTAGAGCAAAAATATATTTGGCAATTAGTTTGCAATAAGTTAAGTTTCAAGAGTGAAATCCTAGACCACGTTAGTTTTATGCTCCATTTTTTTGTTTTTATAATCATGCATTCTATGTGAATAACAACTAATGCAATTTTATTGAAGCTTTAAAATTGCCGACGTTTCAAATAGGAATCTGCAACCTTTTCAACTAAATAGAGTATAAACTGCAATTATTAATTTTGTTCTACAATTTAAAACACTGCCTATTTCTGGCCATTTCCTTTAAGCGAATTTCCGATCGCCAAATTAGAGTTCACTTACAAGCATGTTGGCATATTAACTTGAAATTTTTATTAATAAAAAAGAATAAGCGCCTTTGAAAATTAAAGTCATATGGGATATTTCATATATTTCCCTATCCGCAACACGCAAACGGATACAGTGAAAACCTTAGTTCTCGCAAATATATATTGTACCTAATGTACAGTAATAATCATGTCATTAAAGGTAAGGGATTCCATATTCCCATCATTTCCTTTTGCTCACTTTGAAGTTTACATAAAATCTTTATTTTGTCATTTATCAACTGCAGCATCGTCTAATGTGCCTTCTAAAGTAATAAGTATTCCAAAATTGAAAATTTTAATTCTAAATTCTAATTTCTAAATTCTAAATAAATGAAGAATCACATGCAAATGATTTCATGTCAAATGCTTAGCTACTTAAATTAGATGAGTAGATTCTAAGATTTTTCTGTTAATTTGAATAGATTATGCTCTTTTAACTGAGAAAATTAATGCCTCCATGAGAAAATATTATCACTCGATTGTGTGAACCTTCCTCTTTTCATGTTTACACTGATTTTATAAAAATTATAAGCAAAGTTGATTGCTGTGCTAAGAAGTCAGTTTTTCGGAAGCCTGATAAAAGTAAGGATTTGAAATTTCGAAAATTGTAACCAAAACATACGTAATGACATCACGTTGTCATTAGAACTGAATTATGATTGTATTTCCAATCAGAACAACGTAGACTAATAATTAACTTAAAATGATATCTTTTATTGTTAGTACCTCCCTAAGTAAATATAGCCATAAAATTGTTACAGGCTTAGCCCTAAAATTTCATATATATGCTAATCATTAGCCTACTACCAAGTAGCAATAAGGACCCATTAGGCATGACTTCCGAGTATACGCAAGTAAAAATATCCGTTAGCAGAAGCTTTCGACGCATGTGTTTAAAATACCGCTTATAAAGTTAACAAAAATATATTATTATTATACAATACAACAATAAAGCCAATTAGCAGATAAAGTTCTTGTCTAAAAAGCTGGTTTTGGTGAAGCTCTTTCATAGGTAATAGCGTAATTTTCCAACATTTACCACCTTATACCACCTATTCCTGTGTGTCAATGAAGCACTCCACTGCTAAGGACTAAAACCTAGAATTTTTCAAGGATCTAACAGAAGCACTTTTATTTACTTTCCACAGTGGAACTCTCAGCAAGCAAATGATGAGTAAATGATAAAGATGAATAATCAGGATACTTTTTTTGCATCTCCTTCGGAAATTAGAAATTGAATTAGCTTTGAGTCAAACATTTGGCAAAATTCAAATACCTTTTGATGAAGTCACTGTGTAGGCAAAAATTGTGTCTGTTGAATACGTTTTAAAGTTACAAATTATTTCACACACTCAACTTTTTAAATTAGACTAGATTGAGACCGATCTGAATCATCATTTTTAACATAAGATCTAAATTTTCCTTTCGGTCAATATTCACGCGCTCCCAAACTAATTGCTTTTGCCTTTGAGATAAATTAATAAAGCCTTTCAGATTTTCGAATATCATAATTCATTTATCAGTATTTAATGATTACCAGCTATCGAACTTTTGACAATTCCTATTTATGTAAATTACTTACCCGTCGTCTTTATACAGGGTGCCTAGGAAAAAAACGCCTGTATGAGCGCAAAAAAATAAATTATTATTATTGTTATTATTATTATACTTTTAGTTCAAATTAGCGGAAGCAGAATACTACGAACAGCAACACAACTTTTCTCTTTTTTAAGCCTTTTTCATATTCCGAGCTCCGTATCGTTCTCCTACGTATCTTGTGATACTGAGATTCATACAAACAACCTTAGTTAGTAATTCGACAGCTTTCCACATTCCACCAGTTGAAATTTCCAGTGCCTATCACCTTTCCCATTTACACCATACATGTGCGTCTTCGCTTCCCCATTTGCTCATTATTTATTCTTTTCAGAGCACGATTTTGTAAGGACCGAAACATAAGTTAACAAAAATACTCAAAAAACGAGACCTTAGTGATTGAACTCCGCATCTTGAGTTTGAGCCAACGGTAGATACTGAGTTCGCTTTACACTAATTTCCAATAAATATTTTAGAAGCCATCATAAATAACTTATAACATTTGAAAAGGAGATACGATTTTAGCGGGTTTATCGATTGCCTTCCTAAATCAATTCCCCACTGACCTCCTCAACTTATTACCATTTTCGTCAGCCAAAGTTAATTAATTTACTTAATTAAATTCATGCTATTTAAACAAAGCTAGTTCAATCGAGCATATAATGACAGTTGGCCACAGAGACAGTCATTTAAATTGGAAAATTTTCAAATGAAACAGAAAAAAACTCTATTTAAAATTACTCATACTTGGCTTTCTAGGAGATTAATCCAATTTATGCATAATGGAGTATTTAAAACATGACCCAGTATTGGATTAGTTACGTTAAGGATTTAAAAGTACATTTTTGCATTAAAAAAATAAATAATAAAATTTTGTTACTTTGTTTTTTAGCAATTAAAAATGAATATTAAGGAAAAATGATTGTATGATTGGGTAATATGATTTTCTGTCACTTAATTGCCAAAAAAAAGTTTGAACGTCCCTTCCGCACTTTTTCAAAATTGTCAATTCTTGAAAACAATAATTTATTTTTAATTCCCCTTATGTGTCCATGCATTTATCGGTTGTGATAGAAGGTTTGCTTTGATGAACATCCATAGAAAAGTGGCATTCGAAACTGTTTATCCATAGAAAGTGTTTAAATGCATGAGAGGGAGAGAGAGTGTGTGTGAGGGAAATACATCAAAATGTATACAGGCCACGTAAAGTTAGGTTGCCACAAAGATCCGATTTTATTTGCAGTTTAGATTCGGTAGTATTCACTTGCCTTTAATGAACAATATTTACGCCTTCCCATTTGGATTATGAGTGATTTTATCTTTACTGATCAGTTGATCAATTTGAGGTGGCAATAAAACCATTTGACAAAATCGATCCCACTTCCGAACAGCCAAGTGTAAAATAACCGATAAGAGTTGAAATGGATCACAATGGCATATCAAGGTTTCGGTGAGATTTCAGCTGGAGAAGTTAAAATAGTTATTTATTTATATCATATGGCTGGCTTCTTGATGGTTATCATTAGCCCTTTAGTTGACTTCAGGCTTCACAGAGGGGAAGAAACATTAAATTGGAAAAAATCGAGGGGGGGGGGTACAGAAGAGTGTTTCAAAGATGTAAAAGACAAACACAAAGGTAGAACAAAGGTGAGGTGAATACTGTGGAAATAGTCGAATATGGCATAGAGTGAGGTGAGGGTAGTTTGAAGTGAGAAGTCAACTGCCAGTTAATTGACTTTTTTCCGTATGAATATACATTGCCCAGGGTGCACCACGTGGAGGTAAGTCTGTCGCACACCCCGAAGTTAAAATAGTAAGGCCACAATAAGCAGAACTGCAAAGACAAAGGGATATTAATTTTTTTGTTATACGAAAAATGAAGAGATGGGCCGCACTTGACAGACCCAGATGTTCGCCTTGGATTCCACTCTTTTTGATTCAACCTTT